TTTGTGAGGGTTTTACTCAGGTTTGTGAAGTGGGGTTCTGTGAGGGGTTTGATGGGATTTTGTGAGGGTTTTACTCAGGTTTGTGAAGTGGGGTTTTGTTAGGGGTTTGATGGGATTTTGTGAGGGTTTTCCCGGGGTTTTCTGCGGGTTTGACGGTGTTTCCGAAGCGCTGTGCCTGCTCTGGCTATAAATAACACTAAAATAACCCCACATCCTGGAGAAAGGGCACTTTCTGCCGCCTCACAGGGCTCCCCTCTGTCTGAGCCCCCATCCCACAACCCATGGAGCATCCAGAGCCACAATCCCCCACCACATCCCTCTGCAGAGCCCCGCTGGGATGTCACTGTCCCCCCCAGGTCCCCCCTTCACTGGGCACCTCTGGGGTGGTCCCTGCCCCAACCCCTCCGAGCATCCTCCCCCTCACCCCTGCATCCCCCAAAAACCAACCCCACCCCAAATTCCCGAGCTGTGGATTGATCTGGATTGGGGGTGCAGCACTTTTGCTGCCACCAGCAGAGCCGGGGCTGCTCTGCCTGCCCTAAATCAGGAGTGGGAACAGCACGGAGAGGCTCCCCCAGCCCCGTGCCACTCACAATGTCCCTTCTGTGCTGGTGTCCCCTCCCTCCCTCCCTCCCTCCCAATCCCTGCACAGGTTCCTGGGCACTCACGTCGATGCCATCGGCTCCCGGCACTCCTGGGGGACCGGGGGGCCCTCGTGGGCCAGGTTCTCCTGGTGGCCCTCGCTATGGGGGAGAAAAGGGATGAGATCCATGCCAGGAAGGACCCCGAGATGTGTGGGGAATGTGTGGGGCAGAGCTCTGCCCCTCCTGTGGGTCCCCCAGCAAGGGCATGGATGGGGAAATCCAGGATTTCTCACGCTGGCACCTCCAGCTCCTCACTCCCTGCCCAGTTTTTATCCCATTTCTCCCCATCTCCTGCCCTGGTGTCTGTGGGGAACAGAGCAGGGTCTCCACAGGGTGATGGCAGCGTTTTTACCCCTCCTTCCTCTTTCCCTGGTGTCCAGGGATCTCCTGCCTTGATGGAGCAGGGATCTCCATGGGATCACATTTTTACCCCATTTCTTTCCCTCTTTCCCTGGTGTCCAAGGATCTCCTGCTCCAATGGAGCAGGATCTCCACGGGATGACATTTTTACCCCATTTCTTTCCCTCTTTCCCTCACGTCTGAGGATCTCCTGCCCCCAAGGAGCAGGATCTCCATGGGATGGCGTTTTTACCCCATTTCTTTCCCTCTTTCCCTGGTGTCCAGGGATCTCCTATCCCCAAGGAGCAGGATCTCCATGGGATCCCATTTTTATCCCATTTCTTTCCCTCTTTCCCTCCTATCCAAGGATCCCCTGCTCCAATGGAGCAGGATCTCCACAGGATGACATTTTTACCCCATTTCTGCTCTTTCTTTCCCTGGTGCTCCTGCCTGCATGGAGCAGGATCTCCAATCATTTCTACCCCATCTCTGTCCCCCTTTCCCTGCTGCTCCCAGAGCTCCTGCCCCGACAGATCAGGGTGTCCACGGGGTCACGGCAGCTCTTCCAAACCCCCTTTCCTCAGAGTGGGATTTCTGGGAGCACGTGCAGGATTTTGGTGCCCCAAAACCCCCAGGATGAGGTGGGGACCCCCAGCCCCTCTGTGTGAGCTCTCCCTGGGCCAGGCTGGCTCTGCTCCCGGGCTCTGGACAAAAGCTCCATTCAGGGAAGCTCCCGGTGCTGGCTTTGAGGTTTGCACAGGGCTCGGTAAAGAAACCTCTGTTATCCTAACAGGGAGTTCAGGGGGAAAAGATTCCAGTCCTGCAGACTGAAGCCCTGGTGTTCCTGCAAATGGGAAGCAGACGGTGGCTGGGCTGCACTCCTGCAGCCTCCCAGGATGAATTAATTGTAAAAATAATTATAAATATAAGGAATAAATGTAGGAATCAATGTAAATCTATAAGGGCGAGAGGTGCTGCTGGTTCGTGTGCACAACAGGAGAGCCCCGGCTCCACCTTGGATCAATCCCTGAGTCCCCATCCCTGGGATCTCCCTGAATGGCACCTTTGTCCTGCCCGAGGAACGAATTCCAAAGGGTTCCTTGTTCCCAAAATTCCCACATCCCCCTTGCTCTACTCCCCTGCCCCACAACCCCGGGGAGGGGGGTTTAGGAAGGAGTTGTCCCCCAGTTTCCAACAGGCAGCTTAGGAACCACATGGAAAAATTTCCCAAAACCTCTAAAATCTGAAATTTTTTTGCAGCTGTAAAGCAAGGAGAGTTTTCCCAGGTGGAATCCCACTGCCTGCCCCTCTCCAGGGTTCACCTTCCCTTTTTCCAGATCCATTTTCTCCTGCCCCTGGGTGAGTCTGGAGAGTCCAGGGGGACCCCCCGACAGCCCCCAGGAGCCGTGGGATCACCCCAAAAGCCTCAGAGCCCCCCCAGCCCTGCTCAGTGCGGATCTGCAGCACATCCCAGGAAAGCAGGAACAAATTTCCCAGGAAATCCAGCAGGAAAGACAAGAGCCCCCCACTGCTGCTCCGGGAGGGAAATCAAACTAAATTGAACAAACTAAACTCGCTTAGCCAACAATTCCCGAATTTCCAAGCCCGCACTTCTCGCACGGTGGATCGGGGCTGTGGCTGTTCCCACCCTCCCGGGGTGGGAAAAACAAGGGAATTCCTGGGAAAAATAAGGAAAAAGTGCTGGGGGAATAAACCCGAAGTGCTGAGCACTGCGAGGGAGCGGAGATGGGGAATGTCCCCTCTCCATTCCCGGGAGGGAATTCCTGAGGAAAAGAAGGGAAAAGTGCTGGGGGAATGAACGCAAAATGCGAGATGGGGAATGTCCCCTCTCCATCCATCCCCCCGGGGAACATTCCTTGGAAAAAGAAGGGAAAAGTGCTGGGGGAATAAACGCAAAATGCTCAGGACTGCGAGGGAGAGGAGATGGGGAATGGCCCCTCTGCATTCCCGGGAGAGAATTCCTGGGAAAAAGAAGAGAAAAGTGCTGGGGGAATAAACCCAAAGTGCCAGATGGGGAATGTCCCCTCTCCGTCCACCCTCCCGGGAGGGAATTCCTGGGAAAAACAGCGGAAAAGTGCTGGGGGAATAAACCCAAAATGCGAGATACGGAATGTCCCCTCTCCATCTCCTCTCCGTCCCCTCTCCATCCCCGTTCCAGCCGGGAATCGAGCACGGCACTTACGAGCTGCGCCAGGCAGAGGCAGGAGGTTTGGAGCAGGAGCCAGAGCGGCGACACGAGGGTGACACGGGCCAGGGGGACACGGGCCATGGCGAGCCGGGCTGGCACCGAGCGCGGCTGGCACCGAGCAGCGCTCCGGGACACCGGGAGGGGAGAGAGGAGGAGGAGGAGGAGGAGGAGGAGGAGAGGAGGAGGAGAGGAGGAAGGGCTCATTAATATGGAGCAGATGAGGGCAGGTCCCCGCCCCTCTCAGGTGAGCCCGTGGCTGTTACGGGCTCGATGGGGACAGAGTTTGGCACGATGGGGACAGAATTTGGCACTGTGGTGATAGAACTTGGCACAATGGGGACAGAACTTGGCATGATGGTGAGAGTTTGGCACGATGGGAACAGAATTTGGCACGATGGGGACAGAGTTTGGCACGATGGTGACAGGATTTGGCACGACAGTGACAATTTGGCACGATGAGGACAGAGTTTGGCACGATGGGGAGAGTTTGGCACGATGGTGACAGGATTTGGCACGATGGTGACAATTTGGCACGATGAGGACAGAGTTTGGCACGATGGGGACAGTTTGGCACGATGGGGACAGAGGGATTGGCACGATGGGGACGGAGTTTGGCACAACGGTGACAGAACTTGACACAAAAATGGGGACAGAGTTTGGCATGATGGGGACGATGTTTGGCACGATGGTGACAGAGTTTAGCACAAGCTCCCCAAAATCCTCCACCCAGCATCTGTGAGCACCCCAAAACCCCAAACACAGCACCTCTGTACCCCTGAGCCCCTCAAATCCCCCACCCAGCCCCTCTGAGCCCCCCCAAACTCTCATCCAACATCCCGGGACCCCCACCCAGCACCCCACAAACCTCGACCCAGCACCCTCAGCACCCCTAAGCCCCCCGGCCATCACCTCCGCCCGCAGTGTCCCCCATCCCC